AAAAAAAAAAAAAAAAAGAGCGAGAGAGAAAGAAAAAGATGCATATGACATCCTGAGAAAGTATTAATAGCAGCTGTGACACTTCCCCCTTGCCCCATGACACATGTGAATCCTATAAATATGCTCAAATGGTGAAGACCTTTTCTGCAGAAGCTTGTGTTCCTGGCAATGGGTTCGCACAGGCCCATCTTCTTCTCCATGGGAGGGGGTTCCTACCCAGCACCTGGTCATAGTGCCCAACAGCAATAATCTCAGGTCTCACTGACTACCCCTCTGCCCATGGAGGACAGCACACCACAGTCTGTGCCTGTCTCTTATGCGTTACTGAAGGACACCTGGTCCTGTATCGGGTGTGACCAAAAAAGCCCTTTGATCTCTTTATTAAAGCAGTCACTCAGCTAGCTGAGCAGTCCCATTTCTTTCACGTTCACCTTCCTCTAAGACAAGGTTTGCTATACAGTCCAGGCTGGACTTGAATTCACTCTGCATTCCAGTTTGGCTTGAAATCCTCAGTGATCCTCCTGCCCCAGCCTCCTGAGTGCAGTTTAGCAGTCACATTTCTGAAAAGTGCCCAAACTGGGTTTCTGTAAATGGAAACGGCTTTCACAGTGGAGCCCAGACCCTCCCAGGACATGTCGTTCACAACACATTTCCCATTTCCTGAGCTCCCTGCTTATAAGGAACACAGAACACTGGCAATCTTTGTGGTCTATGCTAGAGTACAGCAAAGAAAACAGCTGAGAGCCCAGGAGGCCTTCTCAAAGTCACTCAGCCAGCAACCACAGCGTCCTCCTCAGAGGTGCAGCAGGAAGGGGAGCAGGGCCCCAACTGCAGGGAGGGGCAGGTGTGCAAATAGTGCCAGCATCCTCTGGGGGTGGCTGCAAGGCCTAGACTGGGCCTCAGGGCTCAGCTCCTGTTTCCCAGCCACACAACCTTGGACAGATCCCTCAGCGTTCCTGGGTTCCCAGGAAAATGGGCCATATTATTCCAACTGTGACAGACCTTAAAAAGAATCCAGGGCAAGGGTGGAATGAAATGACTTCGTAAAGGTCAGAGCGAGGCTTTCAAAAACTGCACAGTGAGGATAAGCCTAATCTGGATGTGGGATAGGTTCTGTCCAGTCTCAGCTGCCCAGAGGCCGGTCTTGCCCACAGGCGCCAGGAGCGGAAGCGCTTTGCTGCGTACCAGGCAGAGTTGCAGGGCATCCAGCACAGGGTACAGGCCCGGCCTTTCCTGTTTCAGCAGGCCATGCAGGTGAGGCTGCAGCTCCCTGAGAATGGAGCTGGAATTCCCGAAACCGTCTCAGAAATTACAGCCCATGGTGGTCTCAGTGGAGAGCAGGAAGCCCCTCATCTCTCTCTCTCTCTCTCTCTCTCTCTCTCTCTCTCTCTCTCTCCTCAGGCCAATGCCCGGCTCACTGTCACACGGCGCTTCTCCCAGGTGCTGTCGGCCCTGGGAGTGGACGAACAGCAGATTCTGGCTGAGGCAGGAAAAGGGGACACAGAGGGCACCGCCAGGAAACCCAGGTGAGGTTGGCTGACTGGCTAAATTCTAGTTCTGCTGAACTGTCATGGAAAGGGGCACAAACAACAGCCTCTGGGTTTTGTAGTTTCCTCTCTGTCACTAGGAAGGTTATTTTTTTTTTTTTTTTTTTTTTTTTTTTTTTTTTTTTTTGTGTGTGTGTGTGTGTGTGTGTGTGTGTGTGTGTGGCCAGCTCAGCCCACCCCCACCAGGGGGCAGGGCTGGCTGGCATGTGGTGCTGGGGGATTGAACTGCGGTCCCTCTGCTTTGCCAAGCTTGTTCCAAATAGGTGCTTTAGACCACTGAGCCATCTCACCAGCCCCAATATTTATTTATTTGTTTGTTTATTTATTTATTTATTTATTTTGTGTGTGTGTGGCCAGCTCAGCCCACCAGGGGGCGGGGCCGGCAGGCACTTCGTGCTGGGGGATTGAACTGCTGTCCCCTGTCTTGCTTAGCTTAGCTTGTTCCAAGTAGGTGCTCCAGACCACGGAGCCATCTCACCAGCCACTAGGAAGGTTATTGTTCTTGCTTCTCAACAAGGAAATGGAAGACCTGAGGGCAGGGCTTTTCTTACAGATTAAATAAGCAGTGGAACCAGGTTAGGGGTCTGTTGCCATCTGAGTGGCTGCACACCAAGCTGTTAGCCCTATGTTAGTCACCTCACATACCCTGTCCCTTAGACTGTAGAATAACTCAGTGGAGAGCAAGAATAACAAAGCCTACTTTGCAATAAGGAAAATGAAGTTCAAAGAAGGGAAGTCATTTGCCCAGGGCCACATAGCAAGCCAGCATAGGAGCTGGATTTGAACATGGGGTGAATTTCTTAGTCATTGTGTGGGGAGCTGTGGAGCCCACTAGTCTCCATCTGTGTCTTTAAGGAGCCACCAATCAATGGGGGTGAGAACGGAGCCCTCTTTTCAGAGCCCTCCAAGGACTGACATCAGCAGCCAGCCTGACAGGCACTCCTCCCCCAGCCTGGACCCAGAGAATAGTCAAGATAAAAATTAAAGGCATTGTGGCAAATACCGCTTGAGATTTCTGAGGTGTGAAGAAAAGGCTGTGGGTTGGAAATAGGAGGTGTCACGAGAGTGGCAGCAGCTTAGCTGTCCCCATCCCTAGCTCTGGCTCTCTGGCTGCCCCTCACCTAGCACACACAGCTTGTTCTCTGCTCCTGAGAAGTCATGTATTTCTTTACTTTCTTTTCTTCCTTCCTTTCTGCTTTCATTCTTTCTTTTGATCTTGGTACCAGGGATTGAACTCAAGACTTTGCACTTGCCAGGCCAGGCAGGTGCTCATGCTACTAAGCTATCTCCTCGGCCTTGCATTTCTTTTTCTTTTTCTTTTTTTTTCTTTTTTCTTTTTTTTGTTGTTGTTCGAATGCCTTCAGGGCACTTTTGGCCAGTGGGAGAGGTGTGAGGTTCGAACTCCAGCAACCTGAGGCTGACAGCTTTGTGGAAGCAGCCACTTAAAGGCCTGAGCTAGGGCCAGGCCCCAGGCCTTGCATTTCTTTTTTGTTTGTTTTCTTTTTTTGAGACAGGGTCTATCTATGTAACCCAGGCTGGCTTTGAATTTTAGATGATCTTCCCATCTCCAAAATGGTGGGCTTCCCATCACACCCATCGAGTGGGTTTTTTTTTTTTTTTTTTGTAATTCTTGGCAGAACCAGGGATTGAACTCAGGCCCTTGC